TAGAGAGATAGACTAGTTGGTTAGTAGATAGATGGATGGATGAGTGAATGGAGAGAGGTATGAATGGATAATCAGATAGAAAGATGGATATTAGCATGATTTGATGAGAATGTACTTATTTTCGGGAAAGGAATATGAATTTTGGATTTTAATTGTGGTTTCATCCAAAAATTCGACATTCTAGGAAGCTTACTACTTTCTGTTATTTCATCGTTTTCTGGGACTTTTTAATGACAAATCATAATGTCATTTGATATACATATTTGTTGGTCTTTGGTTTTATGGCTAAACTTAGTAAAAAGGCATGGATAGACTAAAAATACATTTGTGACACCATAATCTGGGTCAGACTAAATTACTGAATATTTGTCATCAATCTCATTATCCGGGGGTTCCATTTAAGGTCTTTACCGAATTGTAAAACATCACCGAAATTCTACACCTTGTGATAAGCTGCACTGTAGATTTTTACCTTCATATGCAGTAAGTCCCTCCTCCCTCAAAGATGCCCGAAGCAACTAAAAAGAGTCATAATTAGTTCTACATATATTTTTACGGATTAATTTAAAAAATAAACTTAGAGGATGTATGAATTTTTTGGAAAAAAATGCAACCGAAAATATAGCGATTTGAATCAAGTTAAATTAGGAAAGTTGCCTTTCCTAAATCGCCTCAACAGTACTTATTTGTTTACCTCTAGCTAAGCATCTCTTATCACCCTAAGACACCTTCATTTAAGCACACTTATCCTGAGGTTTTAATAATCCATGGTGTTTGCAGCTAGCAAAAATCTCAGCTTAAAATAATGTATTTAGACTCTTCGATATTATACTAATGAGTTTGTTTAAAAGTTAAACACTAGAAAGTGAAGGATTGCTAGCTATGAACGACTTGGTAAGTGAATCAGCGAATGCTTAATTTTTGGTGATTTGGAACTTTTACGTTCCCAAATAAATTAAGATGTACTTCTATATTCTTGCTACTGTTTTATGTTCAGTAACATAATATAAACATTTTCTTCAAGGAAAGATTTTTCGAAATTGACAAAAGACCATTTTTGAGTCCGAAATACATATACATATATATATATGACTGTGCACTTGGATTCTTGGTGTATTGTTGAACATATGTGGTGCTAATTCCAGTAGTTGGGGTAAAGATACCTAGATCAACATTTTAAGAGAAAGGTTTCTTGATAGTCTACCCTCAAACCATTAGTATCCACTTAAATGTAGTCATTGAGTCTACTAGATCTACTGGAAAGCACTTCAAGTTACTGCAACTTGTTGAGCCCACATAAATGAGCATATGCACAGCTCCTCGTGACTTCTCTCAAGGCGAAAGAAGATGCAATACAGGGGTCGAATATATATTTTCGACGTAAAGTAGAGCGAGAGGGGGATATTGGCATGACCAGAATGCCAGACCACCTGGAGGAGGTACAATGGCTGAGCTCTTCAGTAGCCTTTTACCAAAATCGAGGTTTAATTGCCTGTTTAACGTATTACATAGCCTCCCATTTACCACTGAGTTCATTATTACGCTAACACTTGCATCGTTTGCATTAATTTGACAATTATTGTTGCTTATTAGGCCACATTATTACAAAAACATGGGCTCGTTGTTGTTTGAAAGATGTACGATACAACTATATAGGACCGTGAAGGTTTTTATGCAAATTACTTGACCAAAGAAAGCTTTCTGAGGTGCTTTATTCGTTGTAGTAACCATTCACCGCAATCTACATGCTACGCATAGGCGTCCAACGATCTCTACTTCCATTAAACGCCTTCCATGTTATCATGATATTACGTGGCGTTAACGCCGATAAAATTTGCTAAAGATCACTGAGAAACAGTACCCTCGAAGGAATAATGAGGATAAGGTTGAGACAGTGTCATACAGGGTTTTCAGTAAGAAGGGGAGAAGAGGAAAACGAGGAAGTAAAAGATTTCCCTTGCAAACCTTTAAGTTGTGTCGTATTAAGCGGATCAATGTCAGGCACAATTTCCCAATCTTTAGACAGTTAATAACGTCCAGTGAAATACTACGCCTGTAGTTCAACGCGCATGCACAAAAAGGCAGTTTTTGGGAGTAAAGGCCAGAGGCGTGACGGGTGATGGTCTTTGTTCATTAGTTAAACGAACGTTGAAAGGCAATAAAATGACCACTTTTCATCATAATTCGTTCAACCTGTCAGCAAATCATCATGCAGTTGCATATTTTGACGGTGTACGTGAAAGAAGTGGGGAGTATATTGGTGCTTGCTGAGGCTCGCTGTCATTTGCTGTTGCAGTGTGTGGGTTAGAAGCATTTGTTCCAGCTCTGTTTCGAGAAATACCTTTTCTCCCCAATTGATGTGGCTGCAGACAAATTGTTGTTACAATCACATCCAATACCATAAATAGGTGCTGCTAACATTAAAACTGTTAGTCGGTCCAATTAGTGGAGACACGTAATTCTACCTTATAGTTGGAGTTGGAGGGCCCTACTGCCTCCATCTTACTTTTAGAAATTCACAGGCAGATTCGGGGTATGCATCAAAGTCACACGCTGTTGCGCGTTTTGCCACTGTACCTTAATGGAATGGTATGCACCATACATAGGAAGTCGATCCAGAGAATTGTAAGGAGATTTATAAAACAAGCTAGCTCGAATCTTAAGATGGACGAGCTAAACTAAAATTCGGCATAGTTCAACCGACACCGTGGCATAAAATTTCAAATATCGGTAGCAGAGGGCGCAACGGAGCATATCGTTTGAGGTTGACGCATACCAATGCCTTATAAAGGGTCAAAAGAAGCGCACGCTTTTAACAATTCCATACAAGTATGAGAAGTTGGTTGTAATCACCTTCTTCCAAAATCAAACTGTTCCGGTAGTCTAATGCAACGTTGATATAAGGTATGACACAGAAATCATGGGATTCAACCGAGCGATTCTTATCATTCTTTTTTAAATCACAAGTCTTGCATCCCTTTACCCTATCTTAAGAGTCCGAAGATGAATTGTCAACTCTTTGGATCTCTGTAACCCGCTGATAAAATGTGCCATAAACACAGCAAGATAATCGACATAGCAGGTGTCCAAATAAAATATTCAAATCCTGTGAATAACTGTTCCCTATGTCATACAGGAAAAAAAAACATTTTTCGTTTGTAAGTAAATTCCACATCGTTGCTGAAATCTTGATTAAAAGTAAAACGCAGACTTCTTAAAAATAACAGGCATTCTGGCTAAGCTCTTAATAGCTAGGAAATTGCACCCTCCGATAAAAAGAAAATATACCTGTTAGTAGAAACTAAAGGATTTCCTCCTGGCCCTTAACATAAACTGTGCAGTTTTAAGCTGGAACACTCCGCATACCCTTCCCAAAATGTTTCAAACATCAGCCAACGCGCATTCTGATGTTTAAAATAGTCGGGAGTTTAACTGCGGACACGGGGTCTCTTCATTGGGGTAGTTAGATGTTTGAATATTCTGACAAACCCCAGAGCGAGTTAGATTAATCTCCCCATCTTTCTTTCCTAGACCCAATCAGTAGATGGCTCAAGGAGCGAACTTTTGACAGCAATTCGTAGATCCAACTTTCGGTTAGCCGCCTCCTCCGGAAGGCATTTTTTTCATCAAAGTATCAGCATTCCAGTGGGCAGTGCGGTCAACACCTCGGGTGGGTTAAGGGGCATTCAACGTGGGGGGAGTCGGAGTCTCTTCCGCAGTTTCACCGTGGACCCTTCTGCCATCTCCAGAGGTTTTCACCAGTCCTCGCTGCGATGTTCTCCTTACAATAAACAGGTCGACGGCAGCCGTGATAGAAGTGAGGCGGAGTCGGGGGTAGATATGTAGTTGCTGGATTGACTGATTGCACGAAATGCGTGCCTTGGTGTTGTTTTGTGTGGTTACCAGTGTGTACATGTGACTCTAGTAAAGTACTGTACACATCAATACACATATCATTGTATAAATTTGTATTTCATTAAGAGATTTGGTGTAAATAGACAAAGACGAAAATAAGCTGGCGCGTTAAAAACCCATGCATTGTGCAAAAAGTAGATGCTATTAGTCTGAATGACTTGTAAGCTCCCCAAACGTAGATGCGATACATTTTTAACTTTCTTTTAATAACAATCGAGTACAAAACTGTGTAACTCAATCCAGCCCTGTGTTTAAACGAATCAGTTTGGTACTTAACCTGTCATCCAATTCTTAGGCGATTATAAAAATCTGACAGGTTACAACCATCGTTACTCGTTTCAATGATCGGCAGAGCCTATGCTCTAGACATTAGGCGACTGATTGTTGAGGCTTGGTCTAAAAATGTTTGTGACAAATGCATCGGCGAATAAGGTTCGTAACATATTTGTGACTTAGTAAATTGTTCAGACTAAATTCAATCAAAAACTTACTGGGTATGGGAAAAACAGGTAAATCACAGCGACGACCTTTTTGTGCACAGCTTTTTATACAAGGTAGGATCAGTCTCTTGAACCCAGATCCATAAAAAGGTGTGATTTGTTATAACAAGGCCCAAATATTCTATAACCTAATGTTCACGTGTTTAGTGGGATTTGTCCATAAAGTTTTCGTCGAGGAACGCATCTTTGACATCAAAATTTCTTTAAAAAAGTGGCTTGGTTGTTTAAAATAATTTTGAAAATTTACAATGTCGAAATTGTAAACAATTCCTAAATTTACAAAAGTACGTGATTACAGGGCCCCTGATTCCCTTACAGTCAATATGTTGGTGGATAGGGAGGTGTTATCGGAGAAGGTGCTATAGAAACACAAGATGCAACTTTTTCCCATAAACTTCTCGAGTATCTTGTCTGGTCTCTTACTGACACAAGAATTTTGCATCGGATGGCAAAATTACTTGACATTCACTATATTAAAGGTTATTCATGTTCGTAAATCTCGCCACGATCACCACCCAACAGCATTCAGTTGAGATCAGATGCCTACGGAGAAAGCGCTCAGAATATATCAAAGTACTTCCCAACTGTACTTTGAAATGAACTTCCTTAGCTTTTTGAGCCCATCGTTCTCCATTGTCCTATATCACCAATTTTAATACGATATTGAGTCAAGAACCGAGGATACACCCCTAAGCATCTGGCACTGGTTCACCTCAGATCCATATTCGGTCCCCTTGCAACTTCTTTACGTATTATTTTTATTTCAGGATAGATCTACTTCAAGCCTCTTCGGCCGTTAGAACTGTAGCCCCAGCCGAACACCCATCAGTTTAGCACTAATATTGCCAAACCCTATTCTACCTTAAACACACATGGAGAAGAACTATACTACTGAGCACAACATACACTCAGTTCCCAAAAGCAAGAGCAATAAAGCTGCTTTCCAAATACGCAAATAATTTAGAACCCACTATGAAGAGTCAATTAAGGCTACAAAGACATCCGACTCACCACACAGAGGCATAATAAAAACGCAAGCCCTCGATTCTCCTTCCACAATATATCAGTTCAGACTAAGTCTTCGATACTATAAAAAGACGGCGCTTGTTTTAACTAGCAAATGCACGTTGTTGATATTTGTAAAGCGAATCGCAATTGCTATTAAGACATCTATCACATCTAGAATACATACACATCAAGACAAAGGGAGGCGCTGTCATTTGCCCCATCGCACAGCCGATGGATACACATACAGGGAAGGATTAGCACTAGCAGTAATGGCCATCGCCAGTTTAGATGCCAGTCGGTTTGGTCTCCGTCGAATGGCATGCTCGCACGATGTCCGTTTGGGTTAGTCGGCCACGCTCCACCTGACTGAATGCGTATCCGTCTAAAAGTGGTGTGACGTTTACTTATTTACCGTTAGCAAAAGAGCCCAATTCCACAAAGGTAGAAGTATCAGTGTCTGTAAGATTATTTTTATCAACAAGACGAAAGCGTGGGACTTTTAATAAGAAAAGCTACTCAATTTAGAATACTTCGTTGACTCTAGAGCAAATCCAGTGACGCATCACTGAGCTTAAATAAAACCAGATTAAGGTTAATGATTTGCCGTTTTAATTGACGTGTTGGCTGTTGAAAGCTAATGAAATAAGAAACTGAGAAAAAAACTGGCGACCAACATTGCCTTAGAATGTTAAATTTTGATGTTTAGGGATGAGGAAAATCGCAGTTTACCAATATTACCAATTTTAGTTCCAGAGTTTCAATCATCCATCACCGACTTCAGTTTCGGTTGCAAATGTATTTCCCCCACGATTTTTCCTTCTCAGTTGATGTAGATGTAGACTAATTGCTGTCACTCACGTTCAACACTACTGATAGTTGTTATTTAAAATTGAACCCTAGGTTTTTTCAATGGGTAGAGACATGTAATTCTTCCTTATAATTGGATTAAAGAATCCTAGCACCTTAACGCGATGTATGGGTAGAATCAAATCATTCGGTAGTCAGATTTTTCAATTTGTCATGTTCGGCTACAACGTCATCTTCAAATGCTGTATAAATTTTTTTATGAGTTATTTAAATTCATCAAGCAAACGAACCCGGACCATATCCATCGGCTTGTTTCAATTGATGTTTTTATGATATGGAGTTAAAAATAAGATAAAAATAGTAGGAAGCACAACTAAGACCATAGTACTGATAGAGTGACGCAAATCAATGCTTTATAATGGGTCCATATAAACAATAGCATGGACTTGGCAAGTCCTCACAAATTATTACACAGCGTAGTCGGAATGAGCGCTACCGAAAACCACACCACCTTCTCATGCAAATAGGACACAAAATGCACTATCGTATTTCTAGTTATGTGAGATTTGTACAGAAGAACGTTCGACCAAATGTATTTTTACTCTACTTTTACATCACTTTGGATTCGCGAAAACACAAGCTTTAATTTAATTAATTTATTTTATTTTATAAACAAAAGGCCCTTAACTATCTATAAGTAAGACACAGTTTAAGATCACAGTTGATCACAAGTACTGAATGCAAGTGAGAAAACAATTCACCGAATGGGAAGTTTTAAAAAAATGCAATTTCGCCTGCCAATCCACACCGTTTAAGGCAAAAAAACAATCATATTTCCCATTGCAAATTGCGTAAGAACTAGGCAGGAAAAACAGTGTTAATGGGGTAAACTTACTAGTAGAAAAACTTGCTGCCACATGCAAAATGTATACTTCACTTAATGAATCTTGAAACTCGTTAGTCTCGAAAAAGCTCTTTCTCATGTGGAAATGTTAGATTAGAAGTCTAACGGATCACAAAGGCTAGACGAAAAAAGATATGAATTTTCGAGAGAAAAAAGCACAGCTGCACTTAGCTAACTCGCAGAAGGAAACATGGCCCATTTTAGTAGGGGAAAAAATGTAAAATCCCCAGCCAATCATGATTACTTAATTTGAATCAACAATATCCGGCGGAATAAATTAAAACCAGTTAAAACAAAAAAATTATTAGATTTCGACCAAAAAAAAAAATAGAAGCTGCAACTGGAGTAACTTACGATCCGGGGGCTGGCTAAGAAGACTTGGCGCATCTGAGGCGATGGGAACGAAAGGCTGGTGCCGGAATAGTCGTAGGCCTCGAGTTCTGGTAGCAGAGGTATGGTGGTAAAATAAAGAAATATTGTGGTGGATTATGTGGTATGGGACAAAAAAGCAGGTTTTTTTTTTTTTTTTTTGGGGGGGGGAGGCACACGTAACGCGATGGTGAAAGATGATGCAAGAACGCACAGCATGCAGACGAGAGCAGTTTTCACTTTCACGTAAAGTACGACGAAATGTCCACTTAGCTGCGCACTTACTTTGTTTGAGGATACAACTATTCAAGGTTCCCGCTTCGGTTTCACAAAGTTTGCGCAGTTTTGAAGCTAATACCTTTCATATTTAACAAATGACAAATTGAAACACGATCTTTAACAATGATATTAGCACCTATAGCATCCATTATGGAGATCGAGTACCTACTGCAAATCGACCAAAAAGATGAGAGATTATGCTTAAGTGTCAAACACTATGCTCAATCGCGAGATACTGGCTCAAACAGCGCTACTACTCGAATCACAAGCGGGAGATTAAACTTGACACTTTTCTGTTTCTCCCCCTCTCCCAACAAATTCACGTGATTTGCGCACACGAACCGATCTGATGTAAAACAGCTTCCTTCACACAGTAGAGTGCATACAAAAAGCTTTCGACAATCCATCACTTCCTACCATTGTATCCACTGCATCGTTGGAACGGTAGTAAAGATGTATCGTCAATACTTTTGGAATTACTGAATGATGAAACAGGACCGAATTAGGAAAAGTAAGATGCTTTACATCCTACTATGGAAAAGAGTAAAATAGAAAGTCCACCTTAAAATCACTAGCACCATAGGGAAAGCGGTAGAAACTGTTTGGGAAAAAGTTTAGAAGTAGCTTTAGATCAAGCGAATCGAAAGTGCACGCGCCCCAAAAGATGAAGGCGAGCGCTAAGGAGGAACTTAATGGCGCTATGAAAAAAAAAGTTCCTTAATTTACTAAATGAGAAAATGACAAGAGTTTCCACTGGAAACAGCCTTTCAAAAATACATGGGAGAAAAACGATCGACTCAGAATCTGAACCCAACTAGGGTTTATACAGTGAAATGCGGAAGTTATTACGAATGGAAAAGCTTCATAGACGATGAAGGGATTTAAATAGCACTTGCGGAGTGACAACAGCGTACAATCAGCACCCAATGTTTTTCAGCGACTAATTTTATGGAATATCAGAAGTGCTCTGGACGAGCCACCATGTACTTATTCTAGGGTGATTTACGAGATAAACAAAAGGAATACAAAATGGAGACAGGTACGTGCTATGACAACATTCTTACTCTTGAACTTCAAATTGCTCGCTAAAAACAAAGATGGTGTATAAGTTTAAAACGAAAAGACTATAATCAAATAATTTTGGTTCTGATTAGTAATGATGAACATATATTCCGAGCTAATGAAAGAGAAAAGCTTGCTAGATGAGAATCGGAATTTTGAAGTATTCACGCCATTCGATTAGCATTTTTACCGAAAAAGGAGAATAACTTTAAGCATTTGGCAGGATGAAGGTTGCCAAAATGAGCTTTATCAATGAACAGGCCCAGTTCAGATGTATGTGGAGTAACGACAAAATATATTTGGGATTTTGCCGAGAACCGATCACCACCCAACCCCCGGAAATAACATCACCGCGTCTACTGGCATTCTAGCGACAATTTTGATAGGAATTCAAACAATATTGAAAGCATCCAACTAACGCATTCCAAAAATGATAAAATTGGATGATAAATTTATAATTGCTGCTTCCTAAGTTTAAACTTTAAAAAGCTCACAAAATCTGTCAACACTACAAGCAACCAAATCTTTTTATTTTACAGCCTAAACCATGGAAGATGCTTTTTTTTAAAAAAGAAGACAGAATGATGTCACTTTAAAAATAAACTAAGGGAACGCACCTGTGGGGCTTAAACATCTGCATAAACGGCTCTGGCTCGACACCATTCTGTTCGCAGAGCATAACCTGCTCACGCATCGTTACAGAGTAGGTTCGTCGAAGTCTGCAGGGCGAAATCATTAAATTATTAATGGGTCAGTAAAAACAAAATCCCCATTACCTTAAGTGGTCATGAGTTTGATTTTGAATTATCGCTTCAGCCGTTCTTTTAGGAGTTTACCGCCTAAGCATTCAGTGTAATGAATTCATTTTAGAGGAAATACAGATTAATTTCAACAATATTTTACATGGAAGCATAATTCAGCTACGCAGTTATTTGAAAAACACGAAAATGATCAGCCATTGAGGGGGTAACAAAGGAATCCAATGTTTGTTAGTTCATAACTAAATAATTTGCATTTCCGGAAGCGATTTTAATTTCAAAAATGGGTTGTGTGCCACGTAGAAGGAATGAGCTGTCAGGGTGGATACAAGCAAGCAGCGATGTGAGATTCGCCAAAAGTAACGAGAACGAATTCGAGATGACGCAATAGAACAACAGTGATTTTTGAAGTCGTTCCAATTTTTTGGCATTGATGCGTCCTGGACAGCAGAAATAAAACGTAGTGCGCACAACAAGACTTAGGCGTGGAATTTAAAAAGATGGGAAGAATTTCCTTATGTTTACAAAACTTAAACAGTATAGCACTATCGTCTCTAGGTTTTTTTGGAAAAGTAACTTAAACATCGAAAACCAAATTTAAATTAGGTCTACACGATTTATTATCGCAGATTCGATGCAACAAAAATGACAATTGGAAAACTATTACATCTAAAAGATAAAATTGTTACCGCAATTTACATGTGGAACTACAATGATTCTTGAAATTTCGACCAATTTTCTAGATGAATTTGAGATGTCATTAAACCCTCCTATTAAAGAAATTTTCATGCTCCTCAAAAAGGGTGGTAGTGTTGAAATAAGGTTAAAAAATATAGGGAAATGCTAAATAACCTGTTATTGTTGTGTGGATAGAAGACCCACAAACCTAAGATTTGTATACTAAGGAAGAATTAGGGGTTGTTTGACCGTGGGCCTACCAACAGTCATGGAAAAGGCAAAAGCCAAAAAAAAATCAAAACTAATTTCAAAAAAATCCAATATAGCGCCTTGAAGACTCACACTTTCCAAGCAAAATCCCGAGTCAGTGCGATAACGGGAACAACAATAAGAAGTAACCAAAAGAGTGGACTGCTGAAACACGCCATATCCTGCAACGGAACGATAGAAACAAGTGTTAATTTGCTAGGTATCAACTACATAAGGGATAAACAGATGGTTTAACCGATAGATAGCCAAATAGACAGTTAAACAGCGAAGCCCTTAGCATTCACCATTCCGACCATCTCGGGACCAATTGGAAAAGTAGGATAAACATGAGAATAGACGATGAGGAAAAGGAACCACAGCACAATAGTGCCCCAAATGGCGAGGTGGGAGAAGACTGTCCATGCTGTATGCTCGAGGCCCGCTTTCAGACAGACCGTCATCACCACGCACTATGACGAAAAGACGCGAAATAGGTTAAGGGGAAGCCATAACCGTAAGAAAAAAGTCTTGAAGTTTTCGGCATTGAATTGTGGCTGTATAACTAGGGGACATTGCTGTTATTTTAGATAAAATTTTGATGCAGTTCCCAATCATCGAACGATTAAGGTGAGCGAAATGAAATCCTAGGTCATGTTGGATCGGTGCTGGCATACATTTATAAGCAACGCAGTTACTCACGACCCTGATAAAAGATCAAACTCCCAAAGATCTGAATTTAACAGATGTCATTGGATAAGCAAAACAGACTTATCACACTGCTGATGCTTTAATTTATTTTGGCTAAATTTGGGAGATGTGGTATATTCTTAAAATTCACGTTTAGAATGACGTCCTCATAACTCTAAAAGGTGATTTGAAGAAATTTCAGAAAGCAAGTTGTGTTACAATAGAAACCTTGTGTTGGTCAGTATCCAAACTCATCTCAAATGATAACCAAAACAGTACGTTACTGCATTTAAAGTGTAGCAAAAGTCTGTTTTGAAATGGAATTATGAACCGGTTTTGGACGTCCAGGCGTAAATACTAACCTCTGTTAAAGGAATTGAGCTCTAAATGAGGTAAAATACTAAAATTGAGATAACTACCATTCCAAATGAATTGGATTCACAGAATGAAATTGTACAATTCGATGGATCTGTGCTAATAGCAAATCTGCCTATCGGTATGAGTGCTTGTAACATGCACAAACAGTTTGACTTATCGTCTCACTACAGTGTGCATCACATCCACGCAGGTTCACCAAATTTCCGATTTGCCCGAAATTTTTGAGGCTATAGCAAAATTAGTTTTGTGAAAATGTTTACGATGCGCGTGTATAAGCTTTAGGAAATTGAGATAATTTTACACAATCTAGGAAACACTAGCGCGGCTGCAATAGCAACGCGATCTATCTGCAATGAATTGATATCTAGCCAAAGTCCAGATGACCTAAAAGCACAATGCTCCTCTTGTCACATCGACCTCCTCAAGTTGGCATTATGAGCTCTACTTATGCATTTTAAACGCCCCAAAGGTGAAATCTAGAGCAAATTTATTTAGATTAAGGAAACTACAAGGCGAATTACACATAAATCACTGATAAGCATGCAAGGGATGATCATAAACTTAGTAGTGCTAATACTTACATTAACAAAATGAGCGACAGTTCCTCAAGATCACGTGCTCAAAGATGACCCAAATAACTCGTGTTGATGGAAGGTAAACAACATGGGAAAGTTGTGGGCCGTTTTCAAGCACGGCTTCAACCCTAATTATCCGTTTTGTGGTAATAAGAGATCGGCAGCCAATCCGCAACACACAATAAACGTAAAAGTCCTATAGCATGCGTTACTCATCCGCCTGGGTGATAAAAACGCACTGTGGCACAGTTGCACGAAAAAGAGCTGGGTCCATTGTCTTAAAAAGTATAACAAAGAACAGAAGGATGTTACTTGGACCGAATGTGACTCACCGTATATACAGTGCTACCCACGACAAGACGACTACCTGTGTGACCATTTGGATAGGCGACATCTGAGGGCAGTAAGAGTGTACATAAATGAACTTAAAAGTTACTTTAAACAAATGAGAAGGTAAACAGAGAAGCATGAAAGTTCGCAAAGACAGTAGAGGTTATAAGCTAGAAATTGAACAACTAAATAAAGGAACACTCTTGGGTATTGAACGAACAGGGGACCATTTGATAAAGATACACTTACTGCAGGGAGGAATCATAAGTGAACACTTACCGGAATAGAAAGCGAAAAGAGGAATCCAAAAGAGGATAGCTGAATGGAAGACCCCATTCGCCAGCCACGTGAGGAAAGTCTGTTGGAAAGTCAAATGTAAGAGGCTGAATTCTTTCCTACTAATTAGCTGTGTCTAGTAACGCAGACCGAAGTTGTACACTAAATAAAATTAAGAATCTACAAAAGACTGCATAATCGGGGCAATATGCAAGAGGATTCTTTTTAATATTTTAACTTTTCGTGCCACCTTTAGGGTGTATCGTCAACAACACGAATTATCGTTAAGAAGACCTTTCAAGGCAAGAATTGAGAAAAACCAGTTTTGTTTTCGGAGATAGCTTTTGTTGTTGAACTGAGACGCAGAATTGGAAACACTGGGAAGCCCGACCCGCAGAATGATTATCAAAGGTACGAACAGGTGATTCATCAGTCAACAAACAGACAATCTAAGGTTGGATCATAGTGGATAACTCTAAGTCCTGGTGGACGCATTCAAGCGAGTGTCAAAAGCATAACCAACACCTCATAAAGGAAAATCGTATCAGTTTACTCAAGTAAACATTTGTTCCGTGAGGTTATGTAAAGTGCCTAAACAGTCCGAGATGGCTGTTCGCTTGGTGTTTCAGTTTCCACCTGGCATTACATCCATGTCATCTGCTGCTGGCACCATCATTACGAGCTTTTTACAAAAACTAATGTCATGCTGAAGTGAAAGAAGAAAAGCCGCTACAAAGGTCATAACGTCTAATAATGGTAGTAGCCTGTGGAAGCAGAGGGCAATGTCGCTCTGGATTACCCTAAAGCAACACAACTACCATTCTCATTTGTCTTAACAACTAGATTTGATATGAAATCTAATTATTCTTAATCTTTTTCGTTAGAGTGAAGAATAATAACTATGATTACTACTTTGCGATTGGATTAAAGATAATGATCCACACAAAAGAATCCGAGCTGAGATTGAAGTGAACAATCAAACGTGGATAAATTTGAAAACAAATGGGAGTTATGAAAAACAAAGTTGGGTTATTTAAAGGGACGCTGCAAAGATGAAAAATTTGGCTAAGGGAACAGTTCCTACTTTGTCACGGGTTAAGTAATCGAGCGTTAAAAAAGAGGTTCCACGTCTAGGAACTTGCCTTGCCGCCGTGCTATCACGGCAATTCAACTCAACAAGCCGTGAAAAAAGGCTTTCGTAATTTCATCGGCCACTCTCCGGAATTTCACACTAATATCTGTCATTTAGAAAGCAAAACTGTCAACATTCTAGGCGTATTCCTATTAGATTAAGTTGGATTGCTTCCTGTTGAAGGAATTACAAAAAAGCCTAGAATGGATTTAGCAAATAATAATGATAGCTAAAATTTGTCCAGCTCCGTAACAAATCGACATTTGAAACGGTTCATTTGAGCTTCAATAGGCACTGCTTTTCTCTCACATGCGCATTGGTACTCTAAGTTCTAAGGAATTCAACAAGTGCTTGTATATTGCGTCATATTACGCAGCGCCAGCAGTCTCAGACAAACTTAGACACACATGTTTCACATACTTCGGCAAACGATCTTGACTAGAAAGGACATGTAACCGATTACATATTAGCCATTTCGATAAGCGTTTGATTTATGCAAGCCTCAGCAACATGGATTTCGGTGAATTCTCCATTGCACCTACCACTTTGTCAAAAGTGGTGGTTCTTTGCGTCTCCTTGTATAACATCGGCAGTTTCAGACAATTCTTAGCACTCATATTTCGCTCAAACAACCCGAGAGCCAGTGGAGGTGCCGCGCTGAAGGCCTACACAAAAAAGGGAAGGATAAAATATGTTTGTAAATACCCAAATCGTTTCACACGAGGCGGAGTGGAATGAATAGAGTACGCACCACATTGTAGAGGGCCATGCTCCACCGATCAAAGATTATCTGTCCCGAGAAGCCGGAGACCATGCCGAACCAGAACTGGATGACGTAGAGACAGATGTTCTTGTAGAAGGAGTAAAGGATTACCTTGGTGATGCGGTTGAAACTCCAAGCCCCATGGACCAGAAGAAGTTTGTTGAGGAAGCGAAATTGCGCAATAGCGTAGTCGGAGGAGCATGCCGCTTGACGACCTTCCACTCCGTAGATGCCCACTCCAATGTGCGCCGCCTATAAATAGAAAAACGAATAGATAGTGAGAGTTAATTTTGGTGCTTTCTATTATAATGCTCTTGTATTAAGCCATTGAGAGAGAAATGAAACATGTTTTTGTGTTATTTTTAACCACGAGGGTTTTTCAATATCTTGCAATTCAGTTGCCGCACTGGTGGCACCGAGCTCTGCGTCATCTTGTTGCCACTAGTGCCTTACTTACTCTCAAGCCTGTACACTTTGAAAAGTCTTCGGCGGTAATTCAAGTATCACAAGCTCTAGAATTCAGGTTGGAGACAAACGTGATGCTTAGTAGATCGATTTTGTCCAAGGGTAGTACGTGAATTTGCAGCTATTCAGTAGTGTTTTGCCAAATTTTGGCGATTGTCTGAGGTTTCAGTGCGGGATTTCCCTCTCCACTGTGCTGTAAGCCGTGCATTGTTAGATCACTAACATTAATTTTAAGTCCGGAAATTGTCAGTGAATCAAACAAGGAAAATAAAGAATACTCCAGTTAAAAAACAGCTAATCAAGGGAAATGAAGCTAATTTAATACAGCACAATTTTACAGTTGTGATGCCTCCCAAGCTCAAAATTATTTTCAGGCGAGTCTGTTAAGGACTGACCGGTTCATTCGAATTTAAAAAAAACAGGTCATGGGTTTGCCACCAGGACACTAGAGTAAAGTACAATGCCAAAATGTTTTATTGTTCGTGCCTGATTCACCTAGTGCTCAAAAACTGAGCGTAAATATCTTTCAAATAGCCTGCGCTTTTTTCACCTGCTTTAAATTTAGTCAACCTGTGCTATGCATTCTAGCACCATAAACTGATGGGAGACACATGCCACATACTTGTGCTGCTGAGTTAAGGCGGGAAAGTCAAGACTATCTATGTAGGCATCGAGCCAAAAATCAATAAACAAATACCCTTTGATAAATATCAAATGTAAAGGTAACTTTCAGCAAATAATTTCAATCGATGGAAGGCTATGCAAAACCAGCAAGACAAATACACCATTCACCGATGTAAAAGCAAGTTTAAGTAAATGAAAAGCTTCTATCAAAAAATGACTTCAAAAATAGTTAACGTCGAAGGTGATCATGAAACAGCTGCTAAAATTGGACATTTACAGTAGACCCACGCTTTTACCGAGGAGCAAATCCTTGCCATAAGGTTAACAAAACAGTCACCAAATGACATGACGCAGTCTTAAACAAAGGGTACGTCGGAGATAAAACAAACTCAGAAAGAACATACCTGAATCATACCGACATCGTTCGCTCCGTCGCCAATTGCAAGCGTGATGTCATTGGTGAAGGTTCGTGCCAATCTAACCACTTCCGCTTTCTGCCACGGGCTCACTCTGTATGAAACAAACGAGGAGTGGGGTTGTGTTAGGCATAAGCGGGCCCCCGCATAACATTCGCTAACAGAGTCCCAGAGAAAACCGACCACCACAGTCCAGATTTTTTTATTGTTCGAATACGATAACGATTGTCACTAAGCCCTTTGGCCAAGTTGACTACTACTTAAAAACCGAAAAGAAATATTTACTACCTAATCAAGAAAGTCCTATTTCTGGTTCATCGTTATAACTCCAACTACGTTGGCAACGAACGTGGCAGATGAGCCTCGTTCTGTCATCTCATCATTTCAACGAAACGCTCAAGTGTTTAATTCAGTCGACTGTTGGGAAAAAAACTAGAGACAGGTAAAAGAAACCTCAACCCTTTTATCCCACGGGCAACAGTTCTGCACAACTATAGAGTCTAAAACCACAACATTCGACCGGTGGTTAAATGAAACTAGGACAGATTTTACGATGAAAAATACCCTTAATTTTCGGACTACTAAAATGAATCTCTTTTCCACCACACATCAAATTCTTTGTGGATGTTTTGCATTCATAGGATTTTTAGACAAAAGCACTCAGATAAACAAAACTACTGAGAGGTAAAAAGATAAATCATAATATCTCAAATGAAATTGGAACTTTTGCCAGAAGCCAATTTAATGAACACAGAACGGTAAATATTTAAGTTCCTAACCATACACCCCTTTTATGAAAAGCCAAATACAAACATGCTGATAAAGGCAAACGGTACCGCAGAAATTGCGTGTTAAAAAGATCCGGAGATTATTATAGCAAGCAGCAGGCTAGAGTAAGTCTACTTCTATATTACGACTTATTTTCCGCCACAGCCTAGAGATATAATTGGCGCACTTGGTCGACAGTTTTACAAAGCAGTTTCCAAGAAAGCAGACAAAAGTTACTGTAGTAAACAGATGAATGAAGTCACATACTGCGAATGAGTTTTGTGGGTTGTAACGACATTTGATGAAACAGAAGTACCGCGTTTTTCCACCGCATAAACACCTTATTTTTCCCCGTAAATCAAATATAACATTCCGTGTATTTTCAGGCGAAAGAATGTCTATGACAAAACGCCACTTAATGGGAGAGCTTCATTAACCCACTGATCAAAAGATCCAGAAGTTTTAGCTATAGGATACCACATTCACAGTTCTCGAAAAGGTATACTGAATAACGCCAAAATAATATTAATGTAGGTGCAATATGGGTGTGATCTTGCACTGCTATTTCGTATGAGTTTTTTAGATTAGTGTAAAGAGCCATTTGTTACACTGAGTCAATATTTAATAATACCGTAGTCCGTGAGTTCTACAAAACGATGATTTTATGAGTAGGCAAATTTAGCCATGATGAAGACCCCAAAAACGAATTAAAATGAAAAGAGCAGTCATTACCTACGAGTAAGACATTTTTACTCTAATGAGTCTTGAACTGCAAGATTGGAGACAAAATTTCAGCAAACATACAAAACTGCCTTCTGTTACGCGTAAGCGAAAATTGTAAGATTTTCTCCAGTAACTGTAATGTTTGAACGCGCCCTATGCTACGTTTGCTGCTTATCATTAATGCAGCTCGAATCCATGACATTCAGTAAGTGGAAAGCATAAAAATTGTTGTCAATGTTTGGGTTCACAAAGTTGAAAAAACGTCGAAAATGCAAAAATTAGTCATGCTAAGGAAAACAACCAGATGTGTTTCGTTAAGGAGCATGAAAATGCAAATTTGCAGCTAAGAAGGGTTCCTGAAAATGAACCTTGAGCCTCCAATTCACGGCTACGCATCAAGTAAAGAAAATCTCACATTCGTTCGAGTTACAGTAAATAAAGTTATTAGGTTTAAGGAAAAAGCGTTTTTAGGAAAACAGCAAAAAACCTAGTTGCCGTATTACTTCCTCATTAAAATATTAAGTTTGTGGAATACAGAAACAGTCGATTGGTGGAATCGCAAAGACAAAGGCACTGGGTTTTAAGAATTAAAGCGTTCTATTGATAGCGGTTTGGTGATGTTTACAACAATGACAAGAAACATTATTATTTGGCTGAAAATACTATTCTCACTTTGCTTTACCAAAACAAAAAATTTCTAGAACACTAAAACGAAACTGATAAATATGCAAATGCCTAAGCCTATTAAGCTTTAAACACTTAACGAAATCCGTTAAAATTAATAAAGAAATGGTTAGATTACCGGCAGCAGATAACTGATGAGCTCTTGTGCGCGATTTCGAAGAATTCTTTATGGCATTGAGCCGTGAGAAGTAATTCCAGAGCCTAGAACAAAAAATTGCAAAAGAAATGGAAATGAAAGCACTGGGGTTGTCTGCAACCCCAGAAACATGTTTCCATTGAATTCTCCAGCAGTTTTAAATAGTTTCGAATTCTCGAATATTCTAGAGTCATGTCCCATCAAGGATGTACTTTAATCGTACTGGTAACCACTCCGGGGCCAAGGTCAATCAGTTACTATAACTACGCGTAACTAAAAGCACAGACACGAAAATTCAGTGACCGTCAGCCACGTACAAAGACCATACCCCTTTGCGCACGCATTAATTCGGTTGGTGATATTCCCATTAAAGCCTACCTATCGCTTACCTGGTTGGTGGCCTCCGTAAGATCAATCAAATTTGTAACAGAAATGGGACCACCCAGTGAGACATGCCATAAATGGAAAAATTTGGATCAGGAGAGAAGGCAGAGTACATGAGAACTCGCGGCTTTTTATTGCACCCTTTGGCAGACGTTAAGTTATAAGTCATTCAATCTCATGGAGACAAAATTTCCTTAGGAATATTCATGATTTTTGTAGTAATTATAAGGATGAACCCTCGTCATCGTTTAAAACAGATTTATTGGTTCGAGATCATTATCTTCCAGCGTTGAAGTTCAAATTCGAGCATGGGTCAAACAATTGCACTATTGCGGGAAACGAGGCAGGGAGTTCAGAAAAACGAAATACTTGCAGTGACCAATGAGCAAACAATACAACGGTTGAAGGTTGGAGAAATAAAAAGGAACTAGAGTGAGAGCAGGGTAGCAGAATCCAAACTGCTTTAACCTTCGCGATATTTGCCCAAAGCTCTACTACCAGTGGCCTCACAACCCTCATGGAGGTTTGTAATATAGGAAATCCTAAAGTCTTAAGTTCATCCGCCTTCGAGAACGACAATACTGGCCACAAATCATTCCAAAATAACAACAATACCGATTTCGGGGAGTGGATACAATGCCAAATGGGTAGAGAGATAAGCCATCTGTCTTTTCAACACATTTTACAAACAGGACACAACCGGTAAATCCACCAAGACTCCCGAGATGAATAGATACAATACTGCCATGAGAGTCAAACCAAAAGAATGAGGAGGCCCAAAGATCAGGATAAAGATGAACAGGATGAAAATCACTTCAAATCCGTAATATTTGGCGATTTGATGTTTAGCTGACTGTCTGTCAAATCACGTCGGCGATTTGTACTTGCCTACAGCATCTCAGCCTTTCTGTTCGTTAATAACAAATCTTTCACAGTGGTATGGGTTGCCACGACACAAGTGAAGACCCTAAGCGCTTCAGTTACTTTCAATTTGGCCGTCATTTTGCAGTCATAGGATTCTGCCTGTGTCAGCCCCGTCAGCAATTTAAAAACCTATTTGTGCATCTATAAAGAAATTTGTTCTAAAGGAACAGAGAGTTGTATACCAATGAGGGGTTTTTAAGAATCTTCACAACTTGAAACGGAATAATTTCAAGGTTATACGCTGAAAGGGCACCCACCTTGCCTGTAACAATGAGAGCAACCTCGTGGCCCTCAGCAAGTTCCTTTGCCAACTCGTTGCCACACTCGAAGAGCTGGTCCCGAACAGCATCCAAGTTGCTGCCATTGATGATCAGCTGGACCTGCTCCGGGTTTACGAGACGGCAAGAAATGCCTATAAGTTGAAAGGGGAAAGACGCGAATATTGTACACGATCACCAACTAGCAAAATTCACAATTGAGCACGCTAATCAATTGGCAACAGCGAAATGCTTCTTTTCAAGTGACGCTAATTTTGAAAAAAAGTGATACAAGATCAAATGTAAGTTCCAAGTACATATTTTGATTCATTACTACCATCCTATGAACGGCCTTCAAGAAGATTTGTAGGAAATGATGGAAAGGCGGACTTTAACTCAATCCGTTGGCATCTATTGTAAAAGCGCACCGCCGCTAATGGAACAAATTCAATTTGCAGTGCCTGATTGCTGAGCCAGCCCCTAGATGGAATTGTTTACAAGCGGAAGAAAGATAGAGAGTTATGAGATTGGGTAGCAGAAATCAATTAATAAACCAAGAGAGACCAAGGTAACACCGTATTGGCAGCATTGCGCAATCCTGCTGGTCAAAATTTTAAGGCTTCGAAAACTTTCCATCTTATTCATTGCATTCAGAGTATCTGGCTCGATGTACTCGCCTCAATAAAACTGAAAAATCTCATTATAGTTACTTTATCGCCTGCACAATCTTTCCCACCTTTTTTGCTACGGGCGGTAATTAAGATATACTTTGAATACAAAGCACATGGCGTTCTAGTGACTACTGATAGTTGTTAAGGCTAGGATGACATATCTTGTAGAATATGAGGTGTTTGGCAAGAAATAAGGAACTTTTCAAAAAGAGAATTGTTGCGATTTCAATGCTTGAGGTTGGAATCACAAAAACAGGTAACGCACTGCAGACGGAAATGTTCAACTGACGAAGACCAAACAATCATGACTGAGATCTATCCATTTACCTGAAGAAAATCGGTACAGCTGGAAGAAGGTTCTGCTGCTGCATGTCAACGCAAAACCTTATGCCATAGGACCAATGTTTAGATGAGGAGATGATGCCTATCACTCCCACTCCTTTGTATTTCCTCACCGCTTACAAAACCAAGTGCTGTAGGGGGAGCATCCACACGAATGCTTGTAAAACAAAATTACCGTTTAAAATAGTTAGGAAAAGAAACAAAAAACACCAGGCCATTTCCCGTTATTGTTTATGGTCATATTTACAAGAACCATGGTTTCGTTTGCAAAAATAGGAATTGCCTTGTCAATTTATATAGCATCAAGACAAGTCTTTAAGCAAAATGTAAAAAATTGAAGCTTAATAAAAGAGGGTGTAGCGTTTACTATTAATCTTTCATTCCAGGTTCTGACTCTTAGTGGGTAATTTATTTACCAGTCATCAAAGTACAAAAAAATTTCCGACACCCATGATTGAGGAGGGTCATAAACGCTCGATGCTAGAGGTCAAAGCTACTCAAGAAACTTCCTGATCCCGTGCTTAGCGTAAAAAGAAGACTAAACAAAATAACTCTCTACAGGCAAAAGGTATGCCAAAAGCAGGGACGGTGAATGATTTTAGCAAAGACAAACCTAATGACCGGTTCCCATATTCGAATATTCATTTAGAAAGACTTAAATTCGAGTAGTGAATTTTGTTAATGTTCGCTTGTGGGAAATCAGATCAAACGGTTTCGTAATAGACTCCAAAAATAGTGATTATGATATGAATTTTTATTTAGGAATAAAATTTGTAACTGTTTTTGTTGTTTCAGTATACCCAGGGATGGATGCTGGCTGTGAAACTGTCGTTCTGGGTTCAGAAAAGCCCAGTTACTTTGCGCTCGAAACAAGACCGATGTAATATATCTACGATGGAAACAAAATTAAATGAACATTCAAATTCACCAAACTAAGCACTGTGTTTACATAGTTGTTCAATTTCCCACAATTAAAGCCCACTTTATTCCTAAAGGGGGCTCTAGTCATGCGCCCACGCTTTCGGCGTTCCAGTCCCTCCATGCACCCACAATAAAATAACGTAGCAAAAGTAATAGCCGAATAATGCCATTTAAAATGTCATCGCCACCCGCCGTGTTAAAATGAGTCTCTGTTTCCAGTCACAAAACGAGAACTCATTTCGTGTTATTTTGGTATTTTATGACGGCAATTAAACGAATCTACTTCGGCTGTTTTCCTGCATCGTGTGCCAACGCCTTTTTCCTTCGACCAAAATGTCAAAAAACAAGGATATTTTGTTGAAAGGGTGTTGGCCGTCGATTCTCACTACTAAAGGCATTGCACAATAATTCAGCAAAACACCGCTACAATGACTTAGACTAAGATAAAATAGACGGATTATAACGTTTCAATTTAATAAGTAGGCTACATATATGTCTACTAAACTGGAATGAAGCAATTTTAACTTATCTAGAAATTTCCCAACAGATGCTAATAAGGCAAATATGTTTTGTATCCCGTGTAGCCAAATGGTATTTATAATCATCTGCGAAATCGACTAAACGGACCTTTGAAATTCACACAATTCAGTCCTCATGGTAGTGGTATGGATCTATGCTATTATTCTTCAAATTCTGTAAACCAGTTGTATAGATACATCCCGAGTCCGAAACCCACAAGAGCAACTCAAGTACCGCATTATAGGCAGTTTAGTTCTAATGGAGACGACACAACATCAGCAATACAACGACAGACGTACCGATATTGACAGCCGTCTCCTGTTTGTCGCCCGTGAGCACCCAGATGGAGATTCCCGCGGCCAGTATGTTGGCAATGGTCTGAGGTACTTCGTCCTGCAGCTTATCCTCGATAGCTGTCGCGCCTACCAGCTGCAAGTCCTGAAAAAAAAAGAGACGTACAAACATTTCCACCCAACGGCGAGAGGGAAAAGGATAAAGGAAATTTGACCTGTTCAATCAGCTCGCAGACCTCGTCCAATAGGGCATTCCGATTGGTGACTGAGATGCTTGCCTTGTAGTAACTCAATGCCCATTCTTCGTAAAAGGCGCGATCTAGACGACGGAAAGCTATGCACAGAGTTCGCAGGCCTAAAAGGTGAATCATTTCAACGCTTACAATTCTGCATTTCACAAATGACAGCATGATTCAGCCTTATCTGTAGGTGAAAGATGAATCAAAGGGGATCATTTACTAGGTATTTCTGGCAAATTGAGAGTAATCAAGTGCGAGCACTAAAATCCAAACGGAATTGTTAACATTACAGGGATGAAAAAGGATGCTATCGTTTAGGTACTAAACATAGCAGTAAGTGACAAAGGTGCCTTCTTACTTATTATAGGCGGCACGCGTGCCATTGGACACTAGACACCCTTAGTCAGGGTGTCAAACAACAATAACGTGTGAAAGGATGCGTAAAACTAGCCGATATCTACTTGTGAGAGGAGTCCCAAACGGCATGGTGACGGAACCGTCAGCTGCTTAACGGTGAGACGTTTGAGAGGTGTCAACATTTCAAAGACGGCCGTACGCCAGTCTGTCAGTGACGATCCCGGTCATGGTGGTTCCATTATCAGCCAACATAGCAGACATTCCTGTAAACACGTGATTCAGTGTGTGGGACGCCTGCCAGAGCCTAGAAGTCTGATCGACACAGCTTCCCATGAAACCGCGTAATAGAAAAAGCTTTCTGTGGTAACGGTGAAAATAACCATACACGAACAATTGCGTTAATTAAAGTTAGTGCACACCGCGTGCACTAAGTGAACAAAGTGAAGCAGGCTATCCTGGGATGGGCCAGACGTAGTAACAAATCCTTCTATGCCATATCCTTGCGGGTGTTACTCAAATGGCGAAATACGCATCAATGTAACAAGAGACCCTGTTAAAAAAAGCTCACATTGCTTGAAATTTCTTTTGCTTTTTATAACCATAAAATACCGGGTAATTTGAGCAGCCCTCACGGTTTTCAAGAAGTCTCGCAGAATAATGGATAAAAAACTTCAGTGAGGGGTTTATTTTACGAAACAATTGAGGGTTTTCCAGTTAGATGGGTAAGTGGGGTAAAAGCTAGACTGTTGTGACTTACCAAGGCTTGCAAACTCATCCATATGAGACAAGGTCTCCTCCCTGTAAAGAGCATCACTTGCCAAGCGTTCGTAGATGACGGTGTCCTAAAACAGGAGGCGAAAAATGACTAAGGCGGTGAAATTACTGCCTCAGGCCAAGCTGTGCGGAACCTTAGTTTACGACCCTTCCGTGCATTTGTGTAAAAGTTTGCCCTAGATCCGTAGCATAGCGATATTAGCTCTTAATTGGGTTCTTCAGTCTCTGTGGTTTTCGGTCACAATTACGTGACATTACATTTATCGTATCTCTGTGGCAGCATCTCATCAGCAATTCGGCTCCATCCATAACGAAATCCTGCCCGGACTCACATTTTATAAAACCTTGAGAAAAGGCTTAGGCGCCACAACATACCTTCAAATTTGATACAAAGACGAAAAGAGCCAATCTACTACTAAGGAAGCAAAGAGTGGCAAAGAGTGCGACTGTAAGTGAAAAGAAGAATGGGGTTTCAAAGCATTACCGCATGAGGTGATGGTGCATGTTCTAAAATGAAGTCAAATTCATCGCCATTTTAACACTAATTCTCTGGGGCAGAAACGTGCAAAAATATGACGAGGCACATTACGAGCGTCAATGATCAAATAGGCTGTTTTTTTCCCTTGATTGCCATAGCCCTGCAGACGGGAAAGTGAATGGAGTAAATAGTAAAACATAATTCACTCCGTTGATTCATCAGGAACACAAGTACTTAAACGGGTTCATTGCAGGGAGATGAAACCGTTTGTAGCCACAAAACAGTGGCAAACACCATCAACATAAGCCAGCTCTTCAGGCGATTTCGAAGGCATAAACTAGAAGAAGTCACAAAAACGGTACTGCAACAACTTGTTTGTTTTACTAAACTGTGTATCCGTTTCGATACTACTCAAGGTGCAATTTAGATTTAAACACCCAGAAAAATATAAGAGACACCTGATGCACAGGTGAAGCAACTTGAACCAATTTCTCCCGTCCCAAAACCAGCGCAGAAATATGCAGAACTCGTCATCAACTGAAGAGTAAAAATTTGCGATGGTTAAAGAATTGTTTGAATCTTGCACTTTCTATCTGAATCTGTAAAAGGACACATTTCCTGCCCCCATAACTACCAACCCAAGCAAATATGGGATTGTGGATTTTTATAAATTTTGATTTTAGGATCAAAAAGGAGCCATTAGTCACCGCTAAGTTATCAGCAGTCACACAATGTCCAGAAAATTAAGTGTTTCTCCAGAAAATCCTGAACATTATCAACAAAAGTTAATGAAAGAGTCTGCATAATTAAAAAGGGAAAAGTTATCAAACCCCTATATGAAGGAGTCAATCAAAGCGAATTCAGCATACTCCAACAAGATTACACAACGGATGGTTGAGCGTTTCCATTGCTGCATTATTCTGTTTGGCCTTCCAGCACTCCACATCGGTATTTTTTGCACTACTACAAATGGGACACCGTTGGAAGGAGCATTAAAAGTACCATCGACCTGCTGTCATCCAACATTGAGGACGTTATGGCCAATACGGGTAAAGACCACATGAAGAAAGCATGTGGCCGTTTTGAAACCGGACTTTGAAGACGCATGATTGATTTCAAAAAATCCCATCGCCATACGTCTGCAAGGACATACGCAACAATGAAAACCTTCATTTCTCCTAAACCCAAACTTCAGTCTCAAATGGGCTATGCATTTGATAGTCCAACTTTTGGTTTTCAGTTGACTACTTGAAAATACTGTTTCCAACTTACCAAGAAAAAGGCAACAACCAACAGGAAGAATCAAAACCATTTAATAAAACAAAGTGTTCTTATTCGTTGCATTCAAAAGGGGAATGAGTATGTTGAAAAATAGAAACTAAATAACCTAACACAACAAAACCAGTGTCTGAAAAAGTGAGTGAAGACCAAAGGTAAGAGAAAAATCGGCATAAAAATGGTTTTCATTACACACCTATTTGAAATACAGGGAAATTGACTCAGGTGCAACACAAAATACTTTTTACATCATCCAAAATGGCATCTTCCAATTGTTATTTCAACAAGTGAGTGTATCTTCCTGAGAGCCTATTAAATGGTTGCAGTGAGCTGGATGAATTACAAAAGCGAATCAGCTATCGAAGAACCCTCAGAGCAGCGCAAGAGACCATCAACCAGCTAGTGGACATTAGAAAATATGAGTTTTAGAAGGAATACTGAGAGAAAAAAAGCAAAGGAAGCAAGTGAAGGATGGGTTTGATGTTTGCGTTTGTAAGCAGATTTGGGAAAATACATTTATTCTAATTTGTATGCGAAATGACATGCGAACACACTTTTGATGAAAAGACACTTGTGTAAAATGAAAACAAAAGAAGCACCCTTAATGAGCAAGAAAGACTTCATTTCGAAAAAGAAAATTTCAGGTAAAACTAAGCTGGTCAAAAAACAGTACGTAGATGTGACATTTTCTTAGCCGAACTCGAGATCGGAAAGATATGACAAGCATTCTTAATAAGTTCGTGATAATTGGTTGCACCGAATCGCATCACAGTCAGATTAAAGGGGTCGAAAACAGTGGAACAGCAATTGACTCGGTCAGTTTGAAAGTACAAATACTATAGCCATTTTCGAACTATAAAATTTTTGATTTTTTTTTGAGACCCTGATGGCGGATACATCAGCATGGGCTAGGAGTATGGTCAAGTACGGAATGGTTGCCTAATATACCTTACAGAAAGTCAGATATGAGGAATTCGGCGTTAAAAGTTGTGGCGGTAAGGAAGAAATGGATGATCTAGAAGAAAACTCTGCATCTGTATTTTTGAAGTGCAGTATCACAGATTTCCGGGGGAGCTTCTCTCACAAATCCCAAAAGTTTTAACGTGGAGAACGGGAAAGCTAATAACCAGAGAAAGTAGAACAATTGGCGTCATGGTGGTCTCTAAATGACTCCAATTCTCAAAACTAAGGTTCGGCTGTTTAAAGGCAAAGAAAGTAATAGATGACCACCGATGCGAAAAAGCGATAGTCACAGATGTACAGATATTTCAGATAAATCCAATAAAACAAATGTTTTTTTCCAAAACCTTAGGTGTTTTGTCTTAACAGGATGCACTTACGCCAGTGATTAAAGCAGGTCTCGATGTGCTAGAAGCCACACCGAAAATTTGCATAGACATAAACGAGTTTTCAAATGTGAAAAAATCCAACTTCACCTCAAAATGGGCGGGGTAAATGATTGTGAAGAATTGGTCAAGAGAAAGGCGTGAAAAAGCCCCGTAACAAGTGTCTCAAAAAGGCCAACAGGAAGTTGTCATAAGTGGCTCAATACCGGAAGTAGTAGACTCCAAATGCATTCGTTTAAGTCTAAGCTCAATAGCTAAAAGCTGTTTTAACACCAATTAAGTAACGGAAGAATGAGCAAACTTATGTAAAACGTGAGTTATTGTCAAACACAAATTTATTTCATTATGAGGTCTTCGGGAAATCGAACAAGAATGCCAGCCCTTGTTGAAACTCTCCTTCACTCCTCTAAAATATAATGTACTCTATATCATGAGAAATTAAGATCCTTATGTCACGCTCCAACACCTACTCAGGAAATTGAAGCATGAAACAAAAACATCTGGTACGAAATTCACGTCACCGTTCAGTAATTTCAAACTACCATCCCTTAAGATCGATAAGCACCGTTATGTTCAAACGGTGGTTTAAAGTCTAAACAAAACTGTTTAAAAACCAACCAAAGCGATACTAGGAGATTTTCAGTAGAAGAATAAGCTGGTGGCTTACGGCTCCCTTGACCATGAGAAATATTTTCCCGTCTGCATCCTCAACAATGACGCTCATCCGCTTCCGTTCGCTGGTAAATTCGATGACGTGGAGGAGCTTAAACTGAATGTCCTCGCCTTTCTACAATAAAAGGAGGGTGAAAAAAATTAAAAAAAGATGAACTAGAGAGCAAAATGAAGAATCCACCACTCACCACTCGAATTGTGACCGAATCGGGCTCTCGTTCACAGAAAACGTAGCCCACTGCCTTTGCAGCCATCACAAGTGCCCGCTCATCTGCATGGCAATAAAAAAAAGAATAATAAATAGTGAAAAATCTGCGAAGTGATCGAATTAGTCTTCTATGAGAATTAAAACAGTTTAGGTACCGAAGTTCACTCGCCGCTACCCCGATTGATGCGATTTGGAGCTACTGGTCGGAAGTGATTTTAGTCATTTCAAAATAGAAGCAAGTGCATATTTAAGCATTTGGCAGTGATCATGTTAGCCTAATGTTTAACGCCCCAGTCTTCTTCATTAAAACCCGCTGAAATGCTAATGTTTCCGGTGTGGATAAGTTACCAGCAGGTGTTTTGAAGCAACGAGCACGATGAGCTCAAAGACGTTTCAAGAATAGCTAAGACTTTGATAGTAATGCTCAGATCAGAGTGGCTAATTATCACTGAACTAGTTGGTAGCAAGAAATAGACATACAGAAACAACAGAGATATAAGTGTTTAAGCCTGAAAAAGTGGAGCTAAATAAGACGAACTACCATCAAAATTCGGTAAAATCAGGCAACTAACCTGGTGAAGTCGCCTGATAACGGACATCGTCGCGATCAATGTCAATATCAACGTACTCCGGGATGACCGTATGACACACCGCAAGGATGGTGAAAAACCAGTCCACATCGCGGTCCCGCTCCAGGAGTTTCATCCGAAGTCTCCAATCCTGCAGTGCAGACGCTTCCTGGTCTTCCAATCTGCAAGAGGGAATTCCATTATGGAGATAAAAACCCAGAAAATCTGATTGATCGCTGGCGGTACAAAAAAGGGGTTATGTAGCTCTTAAAGCAGGGGTGGATACCTTCAGAATACTGTGCTTTGAATAAAACACGAAGCAGACCCCAATGCTGTAAGAAACTGTTGGTACCACACGAACGCTATAAAAACTTTATGCCGAGATAGAGTACCAGCCCCAGCGACAACCGGTAAGATAATTTATCAAAGAATTAAGGGTAAACTGCTAAGCTATGTGAACAACCTTGTGTAAAGTACTAGAATGCATCTCTCCTCGAACGTTGATACCTTGGTATTTGTGGCTCTGTTTTATCAGTCTTAAGGATTCAAAGCTGTGAATGTCCTCGGTTTTCATGTTCCTGTGAAAGCGCATCAGTCTATTTTAAAAATAAGTATCAGTTTACAACCATCTTTCAAACTAAATTTTGGAGTAATTATAATAAAACCAAAAGTTAACGCCATCTACCGAAGAAGAATTCCGTCTTGAAATCACAGTGAGCCAGTGCATAACAATTAAAAGCAATAGATTTTTTAGCGGGGGTTTTAGCAGCCAAATATAGAAAACTTCGGCCAATTGTTTAAAAAACTTCATTCTGATGTGAAGAGAGTTAACTCAGATCTAGAAACAAACATGCTAGAGGAAAATGACAGATAGACGGTTTCTACTGCACCAAATGACCAAACAAATGCCTGAAGTCTTGTAAAAAAGGACCTTCCTTGCCTCACAAAAGAAATGGGGAATTTGCCAACACCATCGAGCTACTAAAAAAACGAATTATTTTTGGCAAACTCAAGCGCCAGAATAGTTTCGAATTGGAATAGACACCAAAATACCTTGGGATTGCAATGTATGATCCAACGGATGCAAATCTACAAACCTGATCAACCCCCCACCATCACCAAACGCTTCATGGTCCTTGGAGCAAAGAGAAATTCCTTCGAAATAATAGACCTTAATTAAGCAGTGAAAAATGGTACAATATGTGTTCGTTCAGCCGAACGCACACATTGGTGAGAGTTAAATGGGCTAATCTACACATTAAATCAAACGACGCTGCCGAAACTGATTTGTTGAACTCAATTAGCATAATCTAAGTGTTAATTCAAAACAAAACTAACTGCTACCATGTATTGAGGATAGTGCTCGTTCCAACCGGGCATTCACATTATCTGTCATCAACTTACTTTAGGGAGGAAAGTTCAAGTAACTCCTTGAGATTACTAACGGTTCTAGTATGTACACAACTGGAGTGACTCATGAAGTAGTTCTGGTCTGTGATTTATAGAAAACTCTAATCTCAAAAGTGAGGTTATGCTAACTACTGATAGCAAGGAAGTTATACAGCAAAGCCAGTAATTCTCCATGACAAACCTTTTACTTGTCACAAGATTTAACTATTCATGAAAAATCTTCCCTCCACCACTTCCAGGGCTTTCTTCAACCTAACATGAAAGATTTGATTTTAATGGAAACTTTGGATTCTAGACCCTAGTTTTATTCAGTGAATGATCCTGCAACCCCGCAAAGGACAGAACAAGTGATTGCAATTCATCCAAATTAAAAGAGAAACCGTAAAAATTGACAACTCAGCATGCATGTTCTCAAAAATCTGTAGATCGCTAAGCGTAAATTCATCCACTTCTTATCACTCAGACGTTCATCTTGAAAAAATTCCTAGAACCCTCTTTCCCAAAGTGCTTCTCATTTCAACCTCCCAAATTAAAAGGCACCACTAATGTGACTTCGACTAAACTCCAACTCCGACCTGACGTCAGTGATCACAGCCACGCGTACATAACTCCTTACCATATCCTTAGATAATCAGTGGTTTTAATCAAGAAACTGCCTTTTTTGCTTTATATTGTACCTATTTAACATACAGTACAATAGTACAAAGCACAGTTTTGGAATGAAAACCTTCAAATCAAATTAAGTGTCCAATCATGGTTAACGATAAAAGTGATTGGATTGCATAAAGAATAATTTAAGCATTTCGAATCCATTGTGCAGCTGTTTTCACCTACACAAGCAAAATTACCGCTAGGACTCACCATTTTGGATCGATTTATGCAAATAAAAGCATATTTATGGTATTCAATATGGGACCCTCGGAAGACTAACTCAGTAGTATATTTCGTACATTAAAAAGTATATTGTAAGAAGTGGTACATAAATTATGCCACTTTTCCTAAGCATTGATGGACAGCGTATACTTACCCGTAAGCGTCTCGGCCGATGGAACACATTTTGAATTCCATCACGTTTTTTGTGAGGGTGCCCGTCTTGTCGGAGAACATGTACTTAACCTGGAGTTACGACATGAAAAAACAAGAGAGAATTCGAGAACGAGGGATGGAAGGAGGGAATCATAAAAAAAGACGCTTCACTTGGCCTAAGTCCTCGTTGAGATTTGACGTTCTAGCCATTGCTGGGGTATCCGTTTTCGCATCGTACATGTCCAAATCCTAGGCAAGGTAACAAAAAGCATGGGCGCAAGTGCGGATCAGGGAGGAGGAGTGGATGAAACGGTGGTACTTTATTAAGGGTAAAGCATCCCTTTAAGCGACTGCAAGTTTATTTTAAACGGTCGAATTGGTGAAAATAGTAGCCACACCAAATCTTACTCGTAATTTACACCAACTTTATCACAGCTTTAGACTCCGCTAACCTGTGTAGCTCAAGGCATTCGTTATCCAGACACTTTGTTAATGTTGCTAGCTGATATTAGTGATAGATTCCACTGCTTATCTCATGAAAATAGCCCTAAGTGAAACAGGGCAAAGATGCTCACAGGAAGAAACGTGCTTGAAGTTATCAAGGAATTCAAGTTGAGCCAAAGCAAAATAACACCGATATTCTCTTGAATTTAACAATGAAGAAAATTCGACGTTCCACAGAACTTACCCAATTGATAAAGAGGGCCTGGACAAAGCGCACTACTTCGAGAGTCACTTGGAGGCTGATTGGAATGATGGTGTGGAAGATGATGAATGCGGTGATGCACATGAATCCAGCACTTTTAACAGACAGTTCTGCAGGATAAGCAAGAAGCACGCACGCATTTGGATGATGAACACACAATCTACCATGGTATATCTTTAGCTGCGCATTTAAAAAATCCTGCGATTCGACATCTACACTGATGCTATGGAGGAGTTTTGTTTATGTTCCCCCAGCCCTTCTGCACATTTGTCGAGACCATATTGGTGACAATGCTGACAATTTACACGACAATGAGGACACTCTAGCTCTCGATGGTTGGTCAAAGCATCACCGAAGGCAAATGTGTAGATGACTGGAATCGTGTGAACTTTTGACGTACATTCCGGTCTCGAGTCTTCTGTGATAACCAACGATACTAAGAGATCGGGTTTGAAGAAAATACATAATAGTGATGTGAAAACAGTGAATTGAGTGCAATATCTGAGATGAGTAGTCTCCCCATGTTACGGTATGCGTTCGCTGTAGAACATCATCCGATCCCAAACTACTTCACAGATGAATTCCTCTAGCACCTAATGTGTCAAACAAAAGATGTAATATTCCTAAGTCCTATCTAAACCCATAACACAGAGTAAGGTGCATGCTTGATATGACTATTAGATCGTCTTCATTCCCGCTTTGTTGGTGATTGCGATTTACAGGAAGGCTTTTAACTGACAAAGCAGAATTGACTACAGGAAGTGCTGATAGCGACGCCAAATGCAACTAGAAAAATTGCTTTGAACATAGTTGACTTGGCCAAGTGTTTCGGTTATAAATAGTGCGATTTCCACCTGTCGATAAGCTCACGCCCGAAAAGTTTGCGCGCGGCAAGGCAGGGATTGGTAGATTCATCCAGCAAAATGTAGCCATGAGGTTAAAAGGCTTGCGGACAGCGAAACCAAATTCACGCACTGATCATGCAGAATCGAGACAAGACTCAAGAAAATCTGCCAGCTACTGGTGGAGTTGGCACAGTTTGATGTTCCAGCACAAACATCATTTTGTATCGATACTACTGCTCCCAAAACGTTGGATTATTTCAAAGAAGTCCCCGATACAAAGAGCCCGCCAAGAAATGAGTGCAAATCACCACCTCATTTCAATTTGGGACTAAGTACAGATTTTTTGCCACCAAAATCCCCCTTAGGAACCATAATCTAGAGCATGGAAGTACACATCTGTTGAGCTGAAACAGTGTGCATACGTGCGCGGGGTATGGAAAACAGTTCATAGCCTCAAATGGTGTGATGTCAAATACTGACAATGCAAAGCCACTTTCCGAAAAAAAGGCAGTAACAATAGAGCACTCACCGACTCCAGTGAGGTACCACATGTTTTTACCAACTGTTTTTGTCCATATAACATTAGCAATGACCATGAAGATCGTCAGAAAAGTTAGCAATCCGAAGAGCACTAGAATCTGGCAAAGAGAGGGAGATACAAACCTCATAGTCTCTGTCATAAGCAAAATGGCAATTAAAAATTAGGGAAGTGGCAATTTCAATTGCGATCTTTTTGGTAAAAAAGATACATTGAGGGAAATGACTCCGCTACATCCCTCACATAAGAATAAAAGGTTTAAAAGAAAAACATCGACGCGTAATACGAAAGGTGAATAGTACTCATTCATACGTGGATAGATAAACGCGCTATCAAACCTCATTACCCCAAGTCACGTGGCGAAATAGCGCGTCATTCACAAGGACACGGAATTTCTCACTACTCCAAACCATTGCAGATTCAAGATACCGTTTTAAGAGCACCTCGCTTTTTTTCGCCACTTGTTTTACTCAGTTACAAATGAAACAAAAGTGCTAAAATTTGAGTGAAGAAACTAAAGTGAACCGGAAATATCGGTTAAACTACAAATTGGGATTATCCTGAGAGCAGCTGAGAAACGAAGAACAAACTTAATGGGACCTGGTGGGTGCCTACGACACCAAAGTCTGCGATTAAGAAATAGAGGTCAACCAATAGACAACCTAATTCCCTAGTAACGTTTTCCGAAATACTCATAGAGATTCCATTTGGGGACTCATTCACTGCGCAGGTCCGAGGTTGTACTGACTACCTTACCACCTCTTTCAATTTGCAACAGCAAGTAATTAAACTACATAGTCTGCAAAACTACATAATCCGTCTGCCATCATTCTAAGTGCCTAAATCTGGCCAAAGCCAAGCAAGTAACCACTAAGGTAGTAACAATAAGCGCGCAATATGATTGAAAACACTACTTTTAGATTTAAATAGAAAAAACGGACATTTCGTGCTGCACAACTTATGAATAAGCGTCGGTGAAGAATTAACTTACATAGTAATTGGTCTGTTTGTCGACAGAGGATCGCTTCAGTGGGGCAGCCGTTGAATTGAGCATAACTTTAGTCTCTTTTCCTGTGTAGACTACGGCTCCTGAAAATAACCACGTTAAGAACAGTCCCAGAACTAACAGTATGAAGGAGGAACATCGACTTTATGATAAAACCAAACGAGTGGACTCTACATTTTAGCCCTAAATAACGGCAGCAATTATAGAGCATAAGCAAAATTTCAAATTGAATAAGTTATTAAGCCACACGAATACAAGGTTATCTTTTTCGCAAGAACCTACCGAAAACCCAATTCGTATTTTTCACCGTGGCACCACGCAATAGCATCTGGTTACTGTCCAAGGGATAACCCCTAAAAGTGCAACAGAATTGAGAGCCTCGGCTAAGCACAATCAACTGAGATTTTGTTGCTTTCGAATGATAACAAAACGTATTTACAGGTGCCTAATATGGCACCAGAAAAGCTATTATAAACACCGATGTCTAATTATAAAAAAGCCCATTATAGATTAACCATTTCTATACCTTCTTAGGAATGTCGATAAAGATAACTCAAGTACACAGAAGTGTAAAAGTAACTCACGTATTGTTTTCATCATATAGGGTACCCACAAACTCCTCCAAGCATCTTGTGGGCTGCTCACACTCAATTCGCAGTCTTGCTTTCCTGAGGGCCTCGGCGGTTAGTAGGCCCGAAGTGGGTGGTATGCCCTGTAAAAAATTGTCGAACAAGCTAAATACTGCAGATGTAAGAACGACTGTTTTCTAAGTGCCACTGAGTATCACTCGCCTGACGAAGTTTTAGAGCGGTCTCACCGTCCAGATTGGAGGTTTCAATGTAGCATATAGACATTGGCTCGCTTGTGGCGATTATAACAAGATCCGCAGGTATAGGGCAGTTGCTGGTCAATTTAACAAAGTCTCCAACTTGAACATCCTTCCACAGAGTTCTCTCCCAGGATCCGTTTCGCAGAACTATATGCCATAATCAAAGCCCCAATAAGAACTGACCATATGTTTCGGAGTTGTTCGTGGCCTTGTCAGCAGAATGACGTGCCTGTACTAATAAAATAATTAGTGTTTAAACATACGTAATCCTCGATTATTTCTTTCACCGCTGAAACGCATAAAATGAAGGACAAAGGAACCACAGTAGTGAATCGACCAGTCGGGGATACACCTGGTATTTGCTGGGAGTGAAAAAAGACACGTTAGGCTCGAAAACACAAACCTGAAAGAGAGCGACGAGAAGAAAAAATATGTTGGCATACTTCCGGAACTGTTCAAATAAGAATTTGGGGACAAAAGTTAAAAGGGAGTACTTCCCTGTACTAAAAAATACAAACACTCGGTTGAGGAACTATGGTACCTTATTGAATTGTTACAAAATTTGGTTTCATTGAATTCATTAATAAAGATTACACGCTCCTGTTCCAATGGAGGGGTAGATGCTGCGCTATGTAAAGTTTTATAGTCTAAATTATCTGGCGAATTCAGCTATTTGACTTGATTACCGGTTTGATCTTCAGCCCTTACCATCATCCGGAGTCAAATTTAGGATCTGAAAAAGAGATATATGGGCCAAGACTATTTTATCGAAACAGGAAATACGAGATATGTCAAAATGAAGCATTTCACACACAAATCAATAGGAAAAAGTAGAATGTGAAGAAATGACAAAAGTACAGCAAAAAATGTTCCCGCAAACAGTTGAAAAAAAAAACAAAAGACCAACTAATGTACATATGCAAATAGTTTCAATCACGTCGCAAAAGAATACTGGGCTAAGAATTATTGGAATACCAAAGGAAGTTACCAAGACTTACATTAATATTGGAGCAAACGGGTTAACTCATGGAAATAAGCAAATTGTAAAACTGGGCGGAAGCGACTCAGGCTCCTTCGGATTAGATCCACTAGAGCCGAAGCATCAAACCGAGAAGGTATTACAAGCAACCGAAACTATCCAAGTTGAGCGGCTTTAGAGGTAACCAATCAGATAAATGGTTAGTATAAGACAATACAGAGGATATTTAATTATTGCAACTGTGTCCTGACCACATTAAGCCTAATTTTACTTTCCATCGGCCATGTGGTCTAAATTATTTGGCAAAAGAGGGTGGAATATAAAAGCATTACTTAGAATTTATACAATGGACGAGTTCACTCCCAATTCCGACATTTGCGTTTTTAAGACAAATGAAATGAAAATCCACATAGAAGTATGATGCCTCAACACAGACTAAAAAAGCTAGCAGTTAAAAACTAACCCTAGGAAAAATTCATAACCAGTTCAGAGCCCTACAGCGCTCGGGGGACTTTTTAAGTGGTTGCTGGAAACACCTCATAGTATTGCATGTCAGTGTAAGAAACACAAGCAAAACTTCATGTATTGTGGTATGTTACTCACTAAACCACTTATTTTCTTCAGGTACCTTTAGCCCAATTTTTTTGCTGTCCCAATCACAGGGATTCCCATCGTCTCAGTAACCGCATTCCTTTACCTCACTTTTAGGGACAAACACCACGCTCAGGTAATTTCCTTGAGATAGTTACCCATGATTAGCACATCTAAAGCATCTTAGTTTCCTTTAACTGTCAAACGACTTAAATGCATGTACGTGGCGCCCTGAGACTCCCTAAAGACGGACGAAAACACAATACTCGGGCTGAATATATATTCAGCGCAGGGAAGGTGTCTGGGCCATTGGCTTGGCCTAAAAGGCCAGCCCACCCAGCGAGGTACAAGGGGTCTAATTTGAAGTACAAAAGTGGCGCCTCACCAGTACCGAGGGATAAACCACTATCGTATTACATATATTCTTGTATGTAGCATTGATACGTAGTAGGAACCCTTTTGCACAGAGAGGGAAACCACATCTATAAGGGTGGTTAAGTATTTCGCTTTGTGAATCTGATACTGACATCTAAGCAGTATATAGAATTAATCTTGAGATTGCTGTAGGCTCCGGATTTATAAAACTATCTAGTTTTTTAAGAAGGAGTAATATTACATGCAATGTTCACCTACTTCAGAATAAATAATAAAACATTTTTTGGATTTAATGGCAGTTTAACTGTAGAGTAGCTGCAATTCCTCATTCGACAAGAACCAAAATAGTGCTTGAGCCAATTTACTATTTCGATGCTCTAGGAATCCATGTAATTATTGCGATTTCTCGATAAACAACCACAACCCTGTTGTTGGTAAGCAATAATTGTCTCAAATTACCATGTTGTAAGGGTTTAACACAAATCTCCGCAGCAGTCCTGTAATATAGGGCGATTGGAATTCTCCTTGCTTTGCTACAAACTGCCGCCTTTTCGGTTGCCAATCGTAGCCCTAGGTTCTACGTCAGCATAGCCGTCTTGTGGGTGCTCGAGTTAAAAGCTCGTGGTTTCGGAGGCAATTTACCTAACAGTAATACATAAATGAGTTCACAGCAGTATTATTACTCACAGTCGCAAAGTTACAATCCTGGCTACTTTGAGCCCAACAACGTGTGAGTGGAATGTGCTTGGTATCCAAAACTTTTGATCTGATTACATGAAGAAGTTATTTTCATCCCTATAGTTCTTGCAAATTAGCTATATTCCCTCTATATATTTATTTTTTCACTGTTCACCTGTATTTACTTAGTGTTCTAGCTGGTTTGATCAAGATATTCGAATTTTGTAACGACGTTTGAATAAGTACGGAACTTTCTGTTGTTATTACACCCAATTCCTTATTTCCGTCGTTGCAGCCATTTTTCGCAATTCAGTTATGGTGACGCAACACAACAAAAAGCGCAGAATCCCTACTTCACACCAGCTTCTGTAGATGGGAACATAAACGTACAGTTCAACTTTGAGGACGAACCTCCTCTCTTAGAAGGCACGAATTCTCTGTTTTTATGTGTTCTTCTTCACAGATATAGTTTGTATCGCTGAATGTACCTCGATTAATTACGTCGTACCCTGCCAAATCCTGTTTAATTTAGTCGTTTTGCGTGTTCTCTATTCTAGTGCTCTCATGTTTCGACATTATTAATCGGATGATATTGCAGGCGTACGCATTTGCAACACCTTCACCTCGAAAGTTGAACTTATCATAGTTTTTAGGCACCCACAGTTTATATTGCCGTAAAGTCCCCTTTTCGCGATAGAGTTGTCTAATAATTAGTGATGGGCTTTAGAATGTCAACAGAATATCTAATTTCGTACTTTTTTAAGCTGTTGAAATACCAGATTTTTTATATACATGTACTTCTCAATGCCTTAGCAAATACCCGAAGTAAATTGACTTATCTCTATCGTGCTTCTTTTTAGAACTCGGTGTGAATTTCGGCCACATTCTTCAAAAGGTGGGAATTTCTTCTTTTTACATTAACTTGGTTTCTTTGCGTCTCTAAGTTTTATTTTCTACTGGGAAACTGTCAGTAACCCTTCCAGCCTTACTGTAAATTGGGGACATTTTCCTATATCCTGGACCATATAAGTCAACAGTCTCTTACTAATGGTTACAGTTTCATTAACCCATTATGAATTTTGGTCAGTTCTAACTGCTGTGAATGTTAGAAATTCAAGATCGTTTCGTATATATTCACGCTGTGATCTGGATTAAAAATTTTGTGCATTTGAACACTTGTTTGCTCATTCACTTCCAAGATATTTTTTAAACCTAAATTTCATATAATCCGTGCTTTATATTGTTTTTGCTGAAGTTCTGGTAGATATGCATGTATTAAAAATGCTGATGTAACCTTTTGTAGTAGGCCAAACGTTTTATCATCGTGCGAGATTTGGATTAGGATAGGAAATCGGATCACATTACTAGCCTGAGGGGTCAGTGGTGGACTTCGTCTCCCGAGGGTACTAATTTATTTGCAACCATTCATTTACCTAAACTGGAGCATTTCCTTCTTTTATCATTACCTCAGCTAAACTTGCGAGATGTCTTACAATTGAGGTTATACAGCCCAAGTTGGTACTTCTCTTGATTTGGTTTCTTATCTTTGCGTTCCTTTAAATCTGCTTAAGCTGGAGAATTTTATTCCTTGTCTTTAGGATATTTTTTGCAGTTGAAGCATCAACGTTCTCTGGAGTAGAAATATCCATTGTTAATCTACGTTATCCTTTGACAGGCTAAATATATCGTTAAGTAGTGACTGACAGCCATACTTCAAAGGTTTTTTAAACGATATGAAAAACTATGTTTTAATGGAAGCTTTTGAGCGGTAGCTTGGGCAGCTGGCCCCCCATCCCTAAAGTAGTATCAGAATCTCGGAAAAATCGACCATCATGACCCACAAAAGCTCTACTTGAATGTCTGTTCGAATTAAGAACATTTTTGGGCCAGCCTATTGTTTTAAACTCACCCAGTGCGTTTTTGGTACGTGACTCGGTTTAACTAGGTGCCATAAATAGATGAAAAACGTCATATATATGGTGCTGGGAGTGGGATTGCATTGCATTTGCTTGTATTTTCTGCTTTCATTAGATGAAGGACTTTCGACCATTCTTTCCTTCAAAATAGTTCATTTCTTGATTTATTAAAGTCACTGTCGGCAGGTTGGTACCAAAAGAAATACTTCAGCACTGGGGTAGAGCATCTGGTTTTAATCTCTTCGATTATCACGGCTTCTCACTAACCCATTCTCGCTCGTTTCTATAAAAGCATGGGTGTGTGTTAACCTAACGTTTCTTTTTTATGCTGATCACTGTTACCTCTTCGTAATTAAATTCAATTATCTGTCATTATTTTGTCCATGAAACACCTAATCACAAGCGGCTAACGAGGGGAGACGCCACTCTTATTTCACCTTTCCCCTTTCATTAAGGCAGAAACACGGCGTGCATATTTCCTCTTCTCTTAGCTCATTTTTATTTTGTTTTGCATTCCATTTTAAATATTCAAAGGCAAACAGCTTTTCATAAGACCAAATGGACGTGGGGAGACTAATGGATCGAGTTTCACATAACGAAAACAAAAGCTACGCGGCTTTTTTTCTGCTCACAAGCGTTCAATTTCATTGCTGGCATTGGTGAACCAGTCGCTTGTCGGTGTGATCTGATAGTGCACCACGTCAGTCATTTGGCCTGTTCCTTCACCTCCCGTAGGTGTCAGAGTGCATTCTGGCAGACAGAGGGCATCTATAAGGCGAAAGAGGCAAGCTTTTACTGTGTTCTTTCTGTCCGTGTATAATTTCAGGCATCAGTTTCCCGTCAGAGCAAAAAAAGGTCGTTTTGTACTTGCCCCCGTTAGAGTTGGATCATTGACTAATGGCAAAATATTTATATATGTTCGGGAATCATCTGCTATTCTGCTAAGTATGGGATTTATGGAAATTGTTTTAGCTAAATTCACTGGTAATGGTTTGAAATGGCATAAGACTTGAGTGCTTCTTCTTGAAATGAATTAGCTTTTATTGAGAAAACTTTATCTTTCTTATTCACCATTAATGATCAGGCTCAATGAAGGCCAGAATTGCTATAAGAAAAATCCATGAATTGTTTCATCAGAGATTGCATTTTTTCCAACTCTTACCACAAGCATCGCAAAGAATTATGATTCGAAAAAGTCGTGACAATCTTGGTAAATGTTATTCTGTCGACTAAACAAACACGGATTCGATGCTTGCACAAATGCTATTTGTAAAAATGAAGTCAACTCAAGTTTAAATAATATGGCCTGGATAAAGCTTTTTGACACGTTATTATCTTTGTTTCCTTATGAAATACGAGGTCCACTTGGGTTGGCCTTGTGAAAATGCATCATTTTATCAGATTGTTAACTTAATCGCTTTCAAGTTCTTCACTTCACTTAAATTTGGTATCATATCATAATTCTACACTACTTACATAAATTTAAATATAGATTCTTCCAATTAATTGGGAGGCTTATGGAAGAAACTCCCTTCCAAGAGTGATCAACGCACCATTTTTTTTTCATTAAAGATACTTTTAAAATGGGTAGTCTAAAGCTCCGTGACTCTTTGTTGGCTTGGTAAACAGAGAGGAGGAATTGTTCTATATGATGATGGTCTTTAGTAATGAGAAATGCAAGTCCTATCTCATATTCTTAATCTTTGCGGGAAACAGTAGACTCTTACCCGTAGTATCTCCGAATCGTCGATGCTGTTTCATCACGATGGGACGAAGTGGTTCACATTCCGCTCGCTCCTTTTGACAGCAATAGATCACCACACTGAGGAGCGTTAAACTGACGAGTAGTACTCCTCCGCCTACCACAACACCCGTCCACGCTGCACTCACCAGTGTAAATCCACCTTTGTCACGATGCCTTTGGTTCCACAGACGTTGATAGCCCACTCGAATGCGAAAGACAACGGCGTCCTTGCCCCGCGCATTTTCTGCCTCACATCGATACACCCCGTCGTCCACACCCGCCTGTACTTCACGCAACGTAAGATTGGTCTTGGTAAGGGAGTCTCCTAAAACTCGCTCAACCACACCTCTCTTCACCGCTGTTATTGCCGTCGGTTCTACCTCTCCCTCCTCACCTTCCATCTGACCACGGAACCACCGAACCCGACCTCTGGGCTCCGCATAGAAGTGGCACACCATCGTCACGGTCGAACCGACTTCCACCTCGGTGATCCGGTTCTCTACTCCGTTCTTATTTAGCGCTACCGGTGCACACTGAAACTCTGCTAACGGAAGATTAGCAATCATTCGGTTTTTTAGGGCCTCGGGGCTGTAACACAATGCAGTAGCATTGAGTCCACGTGCTATACGAGCAAGCCAGGTTAGATGGCAGTCACAGTTCCAAGTGTTACCATTTAAGTACAAACGTTTAAGGTTTCTCAATGATCGTAATTCGCTATCCAGGTGTATTGGCAAACCGTTGAAGGAGTTGTTGGCCAGACTGAGCTCCTGAAGATTTTTGAGTTCGCTGAGAGCGGTTGGTTGAAACACTAGGCCAGGAATTGTGTTTTCTAAACGCAGTTCTAGCAAGGATGGAGGAAAGAAGTTAGCAAGCAGTTGGCCGAGGGGATTTTCGGAGAGATCGAGCTCTCTCAGTTGCTTCAATTGGAGCAGAGCTACAATGGAAAAGCTGCCAGCTTGGACGGCTAGACGGTTGCCCCGAAGTAGGAGGCGCTGGAGTCGCGGTACCGCGTGAAAAGCATGATCGGTGATCTTCCAGAGAAGGTTTCTTTCCATTCGGAGACAAGTCAGTGCGGGGTAGGGTCGTAGTGCGTCTTCATGAAGTAGCTGGATGATGTTGTCTGAGACATCGAGGGTGGTGATTGCTAGACGGTTTTTGATTGGCGCTCCCACGGGAAGTGGAACATTGTGGAGGCTTCGGTTTCGGCAGGCGTACAGTCCTGATGTTGGTGGCGGTGGACATTTAAGATTGAAAGCTGTCCGAGTTAGGAGCAGTGCGGAAATTGCCAGGCTTTGTACGCAGAACATATTTTGCAAAATTGAACTCTCGAAAGTTATTGCAAATCATACTCTCTGTTTTGATTGGATAGTCGGGAGCATGGCCACGAATAGCTGTTACTTGGTCGTCCAATAAGCATCGGGTAAATTTTGTGTGAACAGTATTTCGATTGTATCGGCTTTATCAAACAGTGATAGTGTTATTTTAAAGGCTTACCAATGTGGTAATAATCCAATATAGTGTTTTGGTGCGCTCACTTCAACTTGGAAAGGGGACTTTCGTTGATTGAGTCCTGTTCCGTTTTTGGTGGAATGTAGTCTATTTCCTATGGACGATGCATTCTCATATGCTTTGACTTTAATCTGGAAGGTATCTTTCAAGAGACTTCCTGGTTTTATTAATATACCAATTTATCTGGAAGAAAGATGGACCTTTTTGTCCTTCAGTGTTCCTTGTTTTACCTTTCAGACTCTAAACGTACTGAACCCCATGCGTGAATGTCCTCAGGAGGTGCTTGATGACACAGACCTTGCTGGACCTCTGGTTTTCTGTCTCATCTTTGGTGGAACCCTACTGCTGGTAAGCTAGTAACAATAGATTAATCCCTCAGAACTTTTGAAAATGTGGCTTCGGTAGACTTCCTACTTGTAGTTTTGGAAATGGAGGAAGTCACAGCTATTCGACTCAACCCCACCCATTGGAATTATACTCGTTTCGTTAAGAACAGTTACTAAGTACAAACCCATGAGAAATAGGATAATGCATTATTTCTACTTGGAATCAAAAGCATAAGAGCGATGGCCGACATTGCAGCTCTTCAGCAGAGCTCCTAACTACCTAAAATGGCCTCTAGTTTGATCACTTTGGAAGGGGACAAAGACCTTTTTCAACTGGTTCTGAAAGTTCAATAGCTTGGTTAAATCAAGTTTGAGAACCGTCCTCCTGACACCTAGCTAGGGCGGATAACTAGTGATGAAAAGGAGTGTCACTGGGTCGTGATGGGAACCAGGTAGAGTTACATCATTGAGTCTTCTAATTTACTTACTAACGTGAATAGGGAAGGCTAAGAAATTTTTTCTTGTAGGCAGGCAAGGTACACTTCAACTACATCTACGGCATTGGACTCCTGGGGTGCCTTAGCATGTACACCCTTCTCTCCCTCATGGCACCACAGGGTGTGGCGCCTACATGCGTGGTCTCCGTCTTGGGCTATTGCATGCTCCCCATGTGCGTCCTCTCCACCGTGGGCATTGTCTTCTCCCTCAAGTGAGTGCTTATTTCTGCCTCATCTTACTTTCAGTTGATTTATCCGGTGATCGTATGGTTGAATCTAAGGCCAGACGTTTTGACTGCCTCATTTTCCCCAAATGAGTCGCTGAATTTATCCCATTTGCTACGATCTGATAGGTTTCAAGTGGTTGCAGATGTTTTGTCTTCCCCATTGGTCTAGTTTCTTTTCATAAGCACAATCATTTACTAGGTAGCTTTTAGAAATGTTTTGTCATTACATTTGTTTAGCTGGCCCTGCTTTTCTGTCTTTTTCAGACAATTTACCAATTCTCATATTTCATTTGCACCGCCTTTCTCTACTTTTCTCTTTCGAAACTTTACTGGGTACCTCCAATTAAAATGAAGCTTCTCCAAACGCATCATTTGGTGGAAAACTTCCACCCTTCTCGTTGCATCATGCACTAATTACCATAGGATTTTTTCAAACTGTTGTATTGGTTTGCACTTTAATTTTCTCTTCTTTGAATGGTTCTCAAGCTCTGCCTTCCCTCTCCAATCTCGGTTTTTATAGCACACTTTTATTTCGGAACTTGTTGATCAAATAGATTTTTCTTGCACCACTTTTATATCATTTAGAGAAGTCGTATTCAGCAGCTCAGAATTAGTATGAGCAATTTGATTCTGATACTGAATCACTTACGGCTTGGCGCTCTTCGTTCAGGACGACCCTCCATTCCTCGTAATATCGAAGCATTAGATTGTATCTAAACTGGTGAGTAGAGCGTCCAGAACAGTTTTCGTGAGGTAGAGGCTGTTTCATTCCTTGCATCTTCCTGCTGATATTCTTCTGTGATAACTATCGCCTTCTCTTAGCGTTAGCTTCAGGCAGTCACATGTTCACATCTGAAATAGATTAAACTTTCGGGAAATAAACGGTGTCAATAGTTTTTACTGACTGAGCCGGAGTATTTGATAAGATAAATTCACGTCAAGCTTGTCTCGTTGAGAAATGATTAACTCTAAATTGGAATAGGGGTTCTTTAAGTGAATAAAGGGCTTTACAAAATGTTCTGGACTAATTTAACCTATTTATAATAAACTATATGAACTTATTGAATTATCTCGTACGTTTCCGAGGCATATGCTCTTCTGTCTTCGTCAAATGAGTTCTTGGAATTCTTTGTTTTTGTGTACCTCTAACCATTTTTATTCAGTTGAAATATTCTCATTTTAGGCTATTTGTTCTACGTAAGCGTGCTTATCTAAATTGGTAGGGACTAAGCAGTCTTTTTTGCAAGTTTGATTGCGCTGTAAAAAGTAATCACGGGCTCAACTAAAGCTGCTCTGTTTGTTTTAAGAGCTCCTTCTCTAACGTCGTATTTTATTTTCATCTCTTCTTTGTGGGATTATTCAAGTCGCTAATTGGTAAGATTATTCCAATTTCATAGCCATTTCCGACAGATACTTATCTGGTAAGCTTTAAATAGTTCCTCAGGTTTTTGATTTGCGTACTACACTGTTTCCACTTTTTAGAGATACCAATCTTCCCCAAATAAATTTTGGTGGGCATTCCCACCTGTTTTGTTTAACTACCCTCTTTGTCTTGAAAGCTTTGATTAGCCTAAATTTGAGAATTTTGGGGTCGGACTTTGAATTTTGATCATACCCAAACAACCATCCCCTCTTTCTTTCCCGTCTCTCTCCCCAACTGATTCTTTAACGTCTTTCACTGTTGGTTTCATTACATTCTCCGCCATCTCAAATCGGGATTATACTCCTCTCGTTAGAATTCAGCTAATTTGTTAATTAGTTACAAATCTGTTAGTTTGAATGTTGATCTTTCATAGAAAAACTCTCTCAACTAATTGGCGTTTAACGGGTACTTATTCCTACCTCATTGTACATATACCAATAGCTACAGCTGATTGCCGGCTGGTTCTGAGGGCTCTAGTTTTCTTTTGATTGTCCTGATTTGTCTGTGATATCTGCCTTATTTTACCGCCATTCGATATGTACAGGTTTGCTAGGCTTTTGATTATATTAAAAGTCCTTTTTGCGGATCAGCGAGCAGTTAACTTATTTTTCTTTGTGGACAAATAATGGCGTAGTTTAATTCTAAGTTTGCTTTGATCTCTCTTATTAGTGAATTTGTTGTAAGATCTACTGTTCCCTCTGTCGTATACTTCAATTAAAACTTCGCCTGGTATGGGTTTGAGGAGTGTCCTCTTTGCTTTTCATTTGTTGGTTTACGAATATGATGAACAGTCATTATTATCTTACCTCTATTCACAGGGCAATTTTGATATAATCTGTTCGGTATCGAGTTTATAACTGCGAGTTATTCATGTTGAGACCTTAATTTTGTTGGATTTTTCACAGTAAAAACATGTTATTTTTACTTGTGATCTGTACAGACTGCTTGTTTTCCCTTCATTAGCGATTCTTTTTTTAGTCTTAAGTATTTTTGCACCCAGCGTTTAAGTTGGCCCAGAGGTGCGACTATTTTGATACGACCTTCTCCCTCTGGAGAGTATTTCTTATCATTTGATGGAACATCGAGGGTTTTCGACTAATTTTTGACATAAAGCCTATCACGTTTTCGAATGCCCAGTACATTGTGTAAGGTTTCTGAAGTCCTCGTTTTGATTTATCGCACCGAGCGTCTATGGTTTGTATTCTCGATTGGACTAATTTCATTTGATCAATTTTTCGGCAAAGTATTTTTGATAATCATTTAAATCACTAACCAATTCTGTTTTTGGGTTCAAGACGTAACACGCTTGCTGTTTTTGTTAAAATTGAAGCTGCACACCTGTTTATTCTTATTGGATCTTTCTGTCGACCAACTTCTCACCACGACTCCCACTTTCAAAGCCTATACATTTTAAGCATTGATTAACCCGCAGCTAGTCTTCCATTGAACAACTGCTTTTTTCCTAAACCCATCAAACAAACTGCTTTGGGAATGTGACAAAGCATAATTGCTTAAATATCATTCCTTGTGTAATAATCAGGGTTTATGGCACCTGCTTTCTCCTCATTTAATTGCATGATCCATCAACTTCCCATTTCACCTCTATTACGACCCTGCAGAGGGTTGAAAGTCGTTTCTATCTCATTAAAGTGTTTCTGTTCAGTTATCACTGGATTTGTGTGCTTAACACCGCCTCCCATGGGGATAATCTGTCTGGAAATGTGGGATCTTATTGCCTTCATCAATATCCTTGAGAATCGATGTTTCCTCTTGAGAACGTATTGCAGTCAGTAATAGTGGTTGCTGTTAACTGGGGTTTATGCATGTGGCCCGGACCCTATTAAACTTTCAACCGGCTCATCAATAGACAAGGACTTCCGGACGGTTGTTCTTATTGACCCACGTATGCAGGTAAAAAAGCTAAAGCACTTCAAGTGTGTACGCGTCTGGCGGCTGCCAACAGGGACCGCCTGAGTGAGTTACCCAGCACAGCTAAACATGATCTGTCACTCAGGCTCGATGTTGGAGAACTAACTTACTGGGAAATTGAGCAGGAACATTTGTGTCGCAGGCATCCACAGCAGTTGCACAGAATCACAGTATAGTATAAAAACAGCGTTCTCACTATGCATATTAACATATCACACATCGAAGCCTCAATCGGCAAATCGTTTGACCTGCGTGAACATTAAATTCACTCAAGGTAGGTTGTTCAGTGCCTTGAGAAACTGCGTCCTGGCTGACAAATGGAATGTTGGGGATGAACTATCTAAGAGAGAGATTGATGCGCTAACAAGTGGTTGGTATGGTTTTAGGTGATTGGTGTTTTAATGCTTTGAAATAAATATGTAAAGCAAAGGTAGCCTGATAGATAAACAATTGGTTTCCACAGCTATCGCATCAAGAAGCGGTCTTAGGACGGTTATTTGCCAAGAGAAGCAGCACACAAATGTCATAACAAAGTTGTGCGATCCCACTATTCAACCGTTTAAGGTAATCGGACGTCTATCGCAGTCAATTTTTCGGGATGGCCTTGTTGGAATCCACCCAGATGGAGTGACTATCTTGCAGGCGAATACGGGTTCAAATAACTCCTCTCAGACTAAACTGGTTATTAGTCTTAGTGAAGTGTTGTTGGTGCTCAGGTCAAATCAGGATTTGGGTTTAGAAGAAGAATTAATTTTTGGGAGTGGATATGCTCTTTATGTGTTCCCATAGTTCCTCCTACACTTATACTTTAATCCCACAAGTCAGCTAGGGCCTCGGATGCTTCGGCATAGAAAGATTTCCTGATGGCGCACCTCGGTGCATAGTATAGGCCAAATTTTCGTATTCGTAAATGATTGCGCTCACCACACTCG